ACCAGCTGATCTGCTATCTTCATTTGCCACAATTAAGACAGTCATGAGTAACTTATACGATGGCCTTACTGAAGTTCTTCTCTTACTACTGAAAAATGCTGACACTCGTGAGAATGTTCTTGAGTATCTAGCAGAGGTGATCAACAAAAACTCATCAAGGGCCCATATTCAGGTATTGTCTTTGATCAGATACCAACAGTGATGTTATTTTGTGAAAATATTGTAATCTTGGCCAGCAAAACTGTTGGACAAACAATTATTTAGTTTACTCTTAATTGAAACCTTTTTTCTATTGATAACTGGTATCAACTTTTAGTAAGGAATCTTTGGATTCTTATGTTATGAACATCCAGTAATTTGCTACTATGGTCATAGGTGGATCCTCTTTCATGTGCAAGTTCAGGCATGTTTGTCAATCTCAGTGCTGTCATGCTTCGGCTTTGTGAGCCGTTTTTGGATGCAAATTTAACAAAAAGGGACAAAATTGATCCAAAATATGTATTTTACAGTAACCGTTTGGAGTTAAGGTGAGGATTTTTTTATCAGTAGGCATAAGTTTTCCTTCTTCAGTTCTGCATGCTAACCATTGTTTCTCGACCTACATTAGAGGTTTGACTGCTTTACATGCATCATCTGAAGAAGTAACTGAATGGATTAATAAAGCTAATATGGGGAGTACTGATGGTGAAAATCGCCTTTTACAATCTCAAGAAGCCACCAGTTCCGGTAATAGTGTCAACGTGAAGCCAAGCAGTGAAAAAGCTAAATATTCATTTATTTGTGAATGCTTCTTCATGACTGCAAGGGTGCTCAATCTGGGTTTGCTGAAAGCATTTTCTGACTTTAAACATTTAGTACAGGTAACTGGGGTATCCTTTATTAGAAGACATCAAATACCACACGCGTGTTATTTTTATGATATAAGATTTTCATACACTTCATGAACTGTGTAAATTGTTATCTGTAATTGATGTGTGGAACATTTATGTATGGAAAATACTCAATCCAGGACATTTCAAGGTCTGAAGATACTCTTTCCACACTTAAAGCCATGCAAGGCCAGACATCTTCTCCACAATTGGAGATGGATATAGCTCGCCTTGAGAAGGAAATAGAGTCGTATTCGCAGGAAAAGCTTTGTTACGAAGCTCAGATATTAAGGGTATGTCCGAACTGTGTGTGCGCACCCGCTTGTGTGGTTATTTGCACTTAGTTGGGTCATGTATATTTTTGAATAGCTCTTATGAGGTTGGTATCATAACCTATTAGACTTGAGCTTGTATCTATTTTCATATGGTTGTTGAGGGTCGAACTAAGTTGCTAGTCATATTGAAGCTGAATGATTTGTTGGGTGGCCATTCTAGTCTCTGGCATTTGCATCATCTTTGTAGGAAGTCTGTCTATGCCTATTCTATGGTTAGATATTTTTAACCATTCTTTCTTCAATGGGGCTTGTTTGGAGCCACTACTGGTCCTTATATTTGTTTTTTCTTTTCCTTCAGGATCCGACACTTATACAGAGTGCTCTTACTTTCTACCGTTTGATGGTGGTGTGGCTAGTTCGCTTAGTTGGTGGATTTAAAATGCCTCTACCATCAACTTGCCCCATGGAGTTTGCTTCTATGCCTGAGCATTTTGTGGAAGATGCCATGGAGTTGCTTATATTTGCTTCCCGGATTCCAAAAGCCTTGGATGGGGTTTTGTTGGTAGATTTTTTATTAAATGGCTTTTATCATAAATTATTCTCTTCATACTTCCTGTAGTCTTATCTTCAAGTGTTATTAATTTTATATTTTTGCTTTGCAGGATGATTTTATGAACTTCATTATAATGTTTATGGCAAGTCCAGAATATATTAGGAACCCTTATCTAAGAGCAAAGATGGTTGAAGTCCTAAACTGCTGGATGCCCCGTAGAAGGTGGTTTAACTTCGCCATTTTGTATCACATCCTTTGATTTGATGATGAAAATTGGGAATTTATAAAAATTTTCATTGCATCTGCAGTGGATCATCTGCTACAGCGACCCTATTTGAAGGGCACCAACTATCTCTTGAGTATCTTGTGAGGAATCTCTTGAAGCTATATGTCGACATTGAGTTCACTGGCTCTCACACACAGGTGAGTGCTCTTATGATCATGTGTGTGATATCGAAGGACATTCATCTAACTATATTTTGCATTCTCAATTATTATTTTTTTAATTGTCGTGTTTGTTTTCCAATTGTGCAGTTCTATGACAAGTTTAATATTCGCCACAACATTGCTGAACTTCTTGAATATCTGTGGCATGTCCCTAGTCATCGAAATGCTTGGAAACAGGTACAGTACTTTAATGGAAAGACATGTTTGAACTTTCTGTCGTGATTCTAAGTTCTGTAATTTCTGCACTCTGATTTCTTTACGGCATTTGCCCTTGACTGCAATAACTTTAATATTGCTCCAGATTGCTAAGGAAGAGGAGAAGGGTGTTTACTTGAATTTCTTAAACTTTTTGATCAATGATAGCATCTATCTTCTGGATGAAAGTCTTAACAAAATTCTTGAACTCAAAGAACTGGAAGCTGAGATGTCGAACACTGCAGAATGGGAGCGCAGACCTGCTCAAGAAAGGCAGGAGAGAACCCGCCTATTCCATTCTCAAGAGAATGTCTGTTTCATCTTCCCTCCACTCAAACAAAACCCGTTAATAGTGTTCGTTTGGAAGTTAGTACCTAACCAAATGAATGCTTGTATTTGCAGATTATCCGAATAGATATGAAATTAGCAAATGAAGACGTTAGTATGCTGGCATTTACTACAGAGCAGATTACAGCTCCTTTTCTACTTCCTGAGATGGTATAAACATCTCTTTCAATCTCTCACACATGCACACATTCATGCAGATGCATGCTTATCGCTCTGAAGTGATTGTTTGGTTGCTAAATCCAAAAGTTTCCACGTGGTTTATCTTCTTAGTATATTCTGAACAGCTTTGTTATTTGTTTTTCTGTTCAGGTTGAAAGGGTGGCCAGCATGCTCAATTACTTTTTGTTGCAATTAGTAGGCCCTCAAAGAAAATCGCTTAGTTTGAAAGACCCTGAGAAATATGAATTCCGTCCAAAGCAATTGCTTAAGCAGGTTGGCATACTAATGTGATTTTTGCTTGGTGGATGACATGCAGTTGAAATTATATGTTTATATATGGTTATATTTGTATGACTGAATCAAAATCTGCCTGTTAGTAAAGAAGGTTCAGTTGAACATGGCTCATGGTTCCACAGCTTAGCTGGCCCTGACCCACTCATTAGCATTTCTAGCCTATGCTCATGCACATTTATGAGTGTCTGATTTGTTGTTGCCGGAGATGTTTGCGTTTATTTGATTGAAGCACGCCCAGCCTGACTTCCTTTTTATTTTTTATTTTGTTTAAAGATTGTATACATATATGTTCATTTGGCAAAGGGTGATTCAGAAAATATATTTCCAGCTGCCATCTCAAAGGATGGTCGGTCGTACAATGAGCAGGTAATTCAGATGAGTCAAAGCGTTGCTTTTAACTTCTATCTTTATGTTTGACTTGGACACTGTCTGACACAATTGTACGTTGCTTCAGTTGTTTAGTGCTGCGGCGGATGTCCTAAGGAAAATTGGTGAAGATGGGAGGATCATACGAGAGTTTATCGAGTTAGGTGCGAAAGCAAAGGTTGCTGCTTCGGAGGCCATGGACACTGAAGCTACTCTTGGGGATATACCAGATGAATTCCTCGATCCAATTCAGGTACATTTTTGTGTAGTGGCTAAGTAGATATGTTGGGACCGTCTTACGTTGCATGTATTTTCTTTCTTGCAGTACACTTTAATGAAGGATCCAGTTATCTTACCGTCTTCAAGAATCACGGTAGACCGGCCCGTCATTCAAAGGCATCTTCTTAGTGATAGCGTACGTCATCAATCCTTATGTGATAATATATAGGGTAATCTTTATGAAACGCATCTCCTATCTTGCTAATTTATCTATTGCATGCGATTTGCAGTCTGATCCGTTCAACCGATCACATCTTACTGCGGACATGCTGATACCAGACAATGAATTAAAGGCAAGGATACAGGAGTTCATTAGGTCCCAAGAATCGAAGAAGCACGGGGAAGACTTGAGCACGCAGAGCACCAAGGCGACGATACAAACTACAACTAGTGAGATGCTAATTGATTAGGACGTTGTTAATAGGACGATTAAGATTTATAGCGTTGGGAAACTGGCGGCGGGGAAATTCTTCAGAAAGGTTATTGTAACGATAATCTTTTAGCATATGATTACTATATGTTCTAGTAGACAAACTATTACTCATCATGAAAGGGTGAGGGTTGTAAAGTGTAATTTCATTTTCGTTAATTAATGGACTTGTAAAATCAGTTATCCAAAATATGTTTGTGATTGCTGTGCCGCTAGGGCCGGCCGCTGGTGGGAAGCAGAGACGACCTTCCCTTAGGTCGTAACTCGCAAGCAGCTGCCGACCAAAAGGCTTAGATTAAGCATGATGAAGACCATGATTTGTGACCTTAGATGATGTGAAGCGAATTTTTGAGTTTTATAGAGTAAAATGACAATGTTTGAGTTTCATGGGACAAAATGGAATCAAAATCGAGTTTTAAAGAGCAAAGTGGAGCAATTTTTGAGTTTCAGGAAGTAAAGTAACGATTTTTGAGCTACAATGACAAAGTGAAATTAAAATTGAGTTTCAAGGAGTGTAACCAAAATAAACAAGTTTAAATCCCCAAATATAAACGATTATTGGCTAACAAATTATAGCGAAAATGGATTCTCCTTCTCGACTTTCAATTTGGTAAATTAATAGGTTTTAAAAGACTATGAAAGTTCAATGACTAATGCTAGGTAGACTAAAGTTGCAAACTAAATGATGTGTCACCAATACAAAATAAGCACGTTAATCAACATTTAAGTAATAATCTAATCATAAACTTCAATGTCGTTTAGTTTACAAAATTTAATGAACAAATTTAGTCTCTCTAGTATTACCCAAGTTCAATATATACCAAATTTTTTGCCAAAAGAAAAAATATATACCAAATTAAATGTTCAAAGAGAAAAATCCGAATCGACTCCTAAGTTTGAGAGACATTGCAAATTTTCCCTAGATCATAGTCACAAGAATCAAACATGCATGCAAAGCGCAATGCAAGCTGTTAAAAAGGGACTGTCTGAGACTATCCATATTTGGTACTGGCTGGACTAAGAATAAATGTGACTAAGAGGGACTAAATTTCACTCGCGCCTCGTGCTAGTACTAAAGGAAGTAAAGACCATTGTTCTTGGTTTTGTGCCAAGTCTTCCGAAGTTTTTTCTTGCAACATTATTTATACCAATTCGTCCGAGAAACATAGAGCTTCCTGCTCCAAAAAACATCCCAAGATTAATCATGAAGAAGCATACAATTTTTCAGCTGACCAGAATATATATGAAATGAGACTTCAAACTTCAAAGGGTTTCAAGACCTTTTGCAAATAGAGAAGCAAAAGCCTCCATATGATGTTTTTTCAAAACCAACCCGATGTCAACAGCTCCGCCGCCGTTCTTACCATCTGCAAAAGTGATCGTCCCGACTGTATGCATCCGAACCACTTCGGTGCTCCTTGGCCTTCCCCATCCAAAATCAGTATCATACATGTCAAACCGATGCGATCCAGCGGTTGTAAAAAATCTCCGATGACCAGCACCACTACTAGTCTGTTCATCAGAAGGGTACAAACTGGAAACGAGATTCTCCGCGCCATTCATCAAACTCCCGTCATCCAAACCCTTAATGGCTTCACTAATCGCATTTACCGCTACAATCAACCCGTCTTCTCCCAGAAGTCCTTTTCTTTCTGCAAGTGCTAGACGGGCCGTTACGCAGTTTCCAAAATAGTTTGCAGGCAAAGGAGGGGTTAAGCGCGACCGGCAGTCCACGTTAATTACCATAGGTATTATTTTGTCCCCTTTTACTTCATCTTGCTCTTCTTGCTCTGCTTTTAGCAAGCAAATCCATGAGTAGGCGCACGTTAGAGAAAATGTTGACAAATGAACAGATCGATCATGTCCTTCCTGTTGTTTCCTGGCCATGATCCATTTCCGTAAAGCTTGTATCTTTGCGCTCGTGAATTCGAAGTTGCCTCGAGTTGAATTTGATATCACTAGAGATTTATAGCGGGCTGCAACCATCAAGCTTCGATTATTTTGTTGTCTGTCCATGTTCAGAAACTGGTTCAAGTAAATCTCTTCCAGTTGGAGAAAGATGGGGTCTTTCATACCCCTTCTGTCGTAAAATGGTTTGAGCTGATCAGGCAAAACAACGTCATCAGATTGATGAACATGTCTGCATATGTGGGTCCATGATTTCAGAAACATGAAGAGAGTCTTGCCGTCAACAACTGCATGGTGCATGGATATTCCAATGGAAAAGCCGCCGCTGTTGGGAAATACGGTGATTTGGAACGCCATCACGGCGGCTTTTTCGTGAGAGTTCTCCAGTTGGGGTACAAGAGGGTGGTATTCTTTGGCATCAATGTTAAAGTCATTGCTTGAGAGATGGTGGAAATCGGCATCAGATTCGGCTACTGTGAGGGAAACGGTGTCGCCCTTGACATAATTGAGGGTGGGTTTGGGGGAGTTTTCGGGCCAAGTGATGTTTCCGGCTAGAGGCAGAAAATGTTGGAGGGTGAGAGAGAGAGAGGTTTTGAGTTTTGGAATAATTATTGAATGAAAAAAGAGTAGGGTATCTGCAGGGGAAGAGAAAGGCAATATGTTATAGAAGAAAAGGCGATGGAAGGGTGGATACCTTAGCCATAGGAGGTCAATGAAGGTTAGAGGAAGAGACGAGTAATCTTGAGCCGGCAGTGCGTGATTGACTTGGAATATTGCTTCTGACACAGCGGTATCTCCATCGTAAGTTTGTTTCCCTCCTTGAGTTGGGATGGCCGAGGCCGCCGACGAGCCAGGTTGTGGAGCTACCCTGCAAACTTGAATGACTTTCACTGCCATTGGATTATCGGATTGGAGTTTGGAAATGAAATGAACAACTTTTTAATGAATTGTTTAATTATATAATATAGTTTAACACTGCCTAATGACATGATCAAACCTATTTAATTCATTGGTTCATCCAAAATTTACGTAAAAGCAAAGTCGTCGATGGCTGCCGGCTTCATGGTTCCAAGATAATATATAATTTTTGAATACAGGTGGTAAATACAAAACTAAGGAAGCACCGACCGATGCTCAAATCAATAATTCATTTTTAAGAAAGGGTAATGCGAGACTAAATATGCATTTTAAATTTTGTAAAGAAGAAAAATACTAAGGAGACCCTCAAAATAGGACTCTCAGCTACCTCACAGTTTTGGCATAAAATTTTATAATATTGGCATAGAAATTGTGCAAAAAACATAGATGGCGAAGAGTACATAGAAAGTTTCAGTTTTGAGAGAGTCTACTTAGAGCATCTTCAATTGAAATGTTAGATTTAAATTGTAAAATTTGAAGTTAGATACTAAATATCATTTTTCCAAAGGATGAGTCAAATTGTTTTTTTTTTAATCATATATTGTGAGTTCTACTGTTAATCATATAATATAGTTTAACACTGCCTAATGACATGATCAAACATATTTAATTCATTGGTTCATCCAAAATTCAAATGCCTAATGACATGATTAAACCTATTTAATTCACTGTTTCATTCAAAATTAAGGTAAAAGCAAAAGTCGTCGATGGCTGCTGGTTTCATGGGTTACAAGACAATATACAATGTACCAATACAGCTAGTAAACACAAAACTAAGGAAGCACCGACCGATGCTCAATCAATAATTCATTTTTTAAGAAAGGGTAATGCGAGATTTAATATGCTGACTAAATTTTGTAAATAAGAGAAATACTAAATGAATTCTCTCAAAATGAAACTTTCCATCATTTCACAGTTTTAGCATAATATTTTATAATTTTGGCATTAGAATTGTGTCAAAAATATGAAGTGATAAAAAGTCTACGAAGAATTCTAATTTTGAGAGCATCTTTAATAGAGCTATTAAATATAAATTGTCAAATTTCAATTGAGAGCTGACATTGCTTTTTGAAGTTATATACTAAATTTCTTTTTTCCAAATGATGAGTCAAATATTTTTTTTTTCCCTTTTATATATTGTGAGTTCTACTGTTACAAAAATTGTAAAAAATTGTGCAAATTGGGCACATCATGTGATTAGTGGATTGTGAGAGGCATTTATTAAATAAATTCAAATGGTAGTGATTTGACGTTTTGATCTATGTTGTCAAAACAAACGACTAGGATGGTAGGCGTAAATTTGTTTCTTTATCTTGACACTTTTGACATTTTCTTTAGAAATGGTCTTAACATCTCTCTTCCTGTATCTCGATTCTTGAGCATTTTGAATGATATCAAAAGATTTAGGCTAAGGCTCTGTTTGGCAGATCGGATAGAGGATCGGATATGACTAATTATATGGACGCGGGTGTTTGGCGTTCACTCGTACTAAATAAGCGCCGGATTAAATTAACCAGTGTGCTTATTTAGCACGGTATACACCGGACTAATAAAACCAACCAAAAGGCCGGGATTATTAGTCGGCCCTCTCTCTCTCGCCTTCTCTCGGCCCTCTTTCTCTCTCTAGGCGTCGTCGTCCTCCCCCCCCCCCCCCGTCACCTTCTCTCACCATCGTCGTCCTCCCCGTCGCCGTCGTCGTCCTCCCCTGCAACTGGGTCTTGCAAAGAAGCATGCACTCTCTTGGCCGGCATGGTGTCTGGGAAACCTCTCTTCTCAAAACGCCAACAAACTACTCTCCTTCTCTCTGTCAAACCGCCGCCAGTCCATTCCACTTGCGATGCTGCAGTGCAGGAGGTAACCTTGTCAACAAATCGTTAGTTTGTTTCGTTTGTTGCATCTTGATTTGGGTTGATGTGGATCTGATGATTCATGGTTGCTCACCAGATGTGCAGGCAGGCGGGGAAGAAGAAGGGAGAGAGAGGGAGGGCGTTTGAGGGGTGCGGAGGAGAGAACGGGGAAGAAGAAGGGATGGTTTCAGATTTATTTTTTATTTTTATAAGTTTAATTTAATTTTAAGTTTGATTTAGCCTATCTGGTATAAAACCAAACACAGTATAAATAATACGGTCATTAGTCCGATACTGCACCAAACGCCCGACTAATTTAGTCAGTACTATCCGGTGGCTATTTATCCTATCCGACAGAAATAATCAATACAGTCCGAGCTGCCAAACGAGGCCTTAAGATTTATAGCGTTGGGAAAGCGGCAGCGGGGAAATTCTCCAGAAAGGTTATTGTAACTATAATCTTTTAGCATATGATAATTATATGTTCTAGTAGACAAACTATTACTCATCTTGAAAGGTGAGGTTTGTAAAGTGTAATTTCATTTCCGTTAATTAATAGACTTGTAAAATCAGTTGGAAATAATTCAATGGTCCCAAATATGTTTGTGAATTGCTTGTAACGACTGACAACCTTACCTTAATTTTGACTGGCGCTAGGGCCGGCTGCCAGTGAGAAGGCCGCCAGTGGATAGCAGAGACGGCCTTCGCGTAGGTCATGTAACTCCCTATGCATGGTGGTGACACTAAGATTATTTTTCTTAATAGAAGGGAGCTCATATCACAAGCAGCTGCCCTCCAAACCTCAGAAGATTTCACGTCAAGAGTGTTTGGTGCTCTCTGGACTAGGAATAAATAGAGCAAGGGGGACTAAGTTTCACTCACGCCTCACTAAACGCAGTACTAGTACTAAAGGATGTAAAGACCACTGCCCTTGGTTTTGTGCAAAGTCTTCCTAAATTTTTTTATGCAGCATTATTTATACCAATTTGTCCGAGAAACATAGAGCTTCCTGCTCCAGAAAGCATCACAATATTAATCATAAAGCATAAAAATTTTCAGCTGACCAGAATACATATAAAATGAGACTTCAAACTTCAAAGGGTTTCAAGACCTTTAGCAAATAGTGAAGCGAAAGCCTCCATATGATGTTTTTTCAAAACCAACCCGATGTCAACAGCTCCGCCACCATTCTTGCCATCTGCAAAAGTGATTATTCCGATTGTATGTATCCGAACTACTTCAGTGCTCCTTGGCCTTCCCCATCCAAAATCAGTATCGTACATGTCAAACCGATGCGATCCAGCGGTGGTAAATACTCTCCGATGACCAGCACCACTACCAGTCTGTTCATCAGAAGGGTAAAATTTGGAAACCAAATTCTCCGCGCCATTCGTCAAAGTCCCACCATCCAAACCCGTAATGGCTTCACTAATCGCATTTACCGCTACAACCAACCCGTCTTCTCCTAGAAGTCCTTTTCTTTCTGCAAGTGCTCGACAGCCCGTTACACAGTTTCCAAAATAGTTTGCAGGCAAAGGAGGGGTTAAGCGCGACCGGCAGTCCACGCTAAATGCCATAGGTATTATTTCGTCCCCGTTTACTTCTTCTTGCTCTTCTTTCTCTGCTTTTAGTAAGCAAACCCAAGTGTAGGCACACGATAGAGAAAATGTCGACAAATGAACGGATCCATCATCTCCTTCCTGTTGTTTCCTTGTCCTGACCCATTTCCGTAAAGCTTGAATCTTTGCGCTCGTGAATTCGAAGTTGCCCCGAGTTGAATTTGATATCACTAGAGATTCATAGCGGGCTGCAACCATCAAGCTTCGATTATTTTGTCGTCTGTCCATGTTCAGAAACTGGTTCAAGTAAATCTCTTCCAGTTGGAGACAGATGGGGTCTTTCAGAACCCTTCTGTCGTAAAATGGTTTTAGCTGATCAGGCAAAACAATGTCATCAGATTTATGAACATGTTTGCATATGTGGGTCCATGATTTCAGAAACATGAAGAGAGTCTTGCCGTCAACAACTGCATGGTGCATGGATATTCCAATGGAAAAGCCGCCGCTGTTGGGAAGGACGGTGATTTGAAACGCCATCACGGCGGCTTTTTCGTCAGATTTCGCCAGTTGGGGTACAAGAGGGTGGTATTCTTTGGCATCAATGTTAAAGTCATTGCTTGAGAGATGGTGGAAATCGGCTTCAGATTCAGCTACTGTGAGGGAAACGGTGTCGCCTTTGACATAATTTAGGGTGGGTTTGGGGGAGCTTTCGGGCCAAGTGATGTTTCCGGCTAGAGGTAGAAAATGTTGGAGGGCGATAGAGAGAGAGGTTTTGAGTTTTGGAATAATTATTGAATGAAAGAAGAGTAGGGTATCTGCCGGGGAAGAGCAAGGCAATATGTCATAGAAGAAAAGGCGATGGAAGGGTGGATACCTTAGCCATACGAGGTCAACGAAGGTTAGAGGAAGAGACGAGCCCTCCGGCATAATGTGATTGACTTGAGATATTGCTTCTGATCGAGTGGCATCTCCATCGTACATAAGTTTCTCTCCTTGAGCAGGGATGGCCGAGGTGGCCGGTGAGCCTGGTTGTGGAGCTACCCCGCAAACTTGAATGAATTTCAATGCCATTGGATTATTGGATTATTGGATCGGAGTTTGGAAATGAAATGAAGAAGATTTTAATTAATGAAGTGTTTATGTGATGATGGTTAGATTGGGGACTTGATAACCCTATATATCAAGTTTGACATTGCGTAATGACATGATCAAACATATTTAATTCATTGGTTCATCCAAAATTTACGTGCCTAATCACATGATTAAACATATTTAATTCACTTGTTCATCCAAAATTTACGTCAAAGCAAAAGTCCCTGGGGATGCTGCCTTCATTGTTTCCAAGACAATATATATATAGAAAATTATGAATACAACTAGAAAATAAAGGAAGCAACTACCGATGCTCGTTAATTTTTCATCCATCAAGAGTTTCACTTTACAAAAAATCTTCGAAAATTACTAGCCGAACTCGCTAGACAAGTTCCATTATCATTCCTTCTTCAATACAAGCCGGAACCCACTCCATTAAAAAGTAGAAAAATAAAATAAAATAAAAATGTCCATGAAAAACTCAAATTGCAGGTTTGACCAAATAAAAAAAGTCAAATGGCAGACTTCAGTACAAGCTGGGACCAATTCATTAAAAATATAAAAATGGGATCATGTTTACGAGGATACTAGAATTTTTTAATTGTGCT